ACTTGAGGGCAAGATTTGAAACTATTCCAAGTCTCTTCAATTTGTAACTTATGAGTTTTAATGATTCATAAAAATGAAGACTCTTCATTTTATGAAACCTCTTTAGTTCTTTAATCATAATTAAAAGAAGTGACTCTTGGTTATCCATAACTTGAGGACAAGTTATGGACACCATCATTTCCATTAAGATCATGAATTAAACATACATGGAGGTTACATATAATTCCTATGATCTTCTAAAAACTCATAAGAATACAAATTCATGTCAAGCAATTTCAAGAAATCATATAACTATATACAATACTTGAAAATTGATAAAAGTCATGTAAAATGGGTTAACATAATCATTATCATTTTGAAAAACAGATTTTACAAGTCCAAAACAGATTGGGATAATGATCTTAATCCATTTCCAGCAACAAAACTCGAAAAAACTGCCCAGCACGCTCCTACTCGCCGAGTGCATTATTCTACTCGGCGAGTAGAATGAATTTGTTCATGGACTCGGCGAGTCCTCCCCATGGACTCGGCGAGTCCAGTCGTCAGAATGCAGAATTTTCGATTTTTAAGCAGTTTTGCATCAAGTATACAGAAAACAATCCTAGGCTCTGATACCACTGATGGGTTTTTAAGCATTCTAACACTTCCTAAGTGTACATGCAACCCTAATAACCTTGAATCTATGTTTTCTCTATATACATGCAAATTTCTTTTTCAAGGTTATTTCCTAACTAGCATGGCATGGGGATTACATAAAACATAAAAACTAGTAGAAATACATACCTTGTTGTTGCTTGGATTCCTTCAAGACTTTGTGAGCCTAGCACCCCAAATGTTGTGCCTCAAATGCTTCACACAACACCACAAGACTTGGAATAACTTGAGAGAATGTCACTTAGCCTCAAAATCGGTTATGCCCTCTCTAGTAACACTAGGTCACCATTTTGCTAGCCATAGGGTTCCTTTTATAGTGTTGTCACAATTAGGGTTTACACATGAATGCCCTTAATTGTCATGACTCTTGATTTCTCATGACCCATGGGTTTTGTAACTCCCATGGACTATCCATGGAGCTCCATATGGTTATAACCAAACCCATAAACCATGGATCATTAATCCACCATAAAAGAATTGATGATTGTCATAATCAACCTTTATATATTTAATTAGTCTCACTTTGATCACCAAATTAATACTAGATTAATACTTGATCAATACTAATTAAATAATACTATTATTAATATATTAGAACTTATAATATATTAATAATCATAAGTGCCTTATTCTCTCATTTAGTCTATCCAAGTATTGCAATGCCATGCAACCCAAATGGACCATGCCGGATCGGGTCAAGTACATACCAAATAAAGTTATGGACTTAGACACTATATCCAACAGTATGTTGTCTTATGGTTTGTCTATCTAACTATCCTCTGTCGATTACTTGGTTTCTTACTCTGATACTGATTCGACCAATTGTCCTCACACATGTCAGTTTACCTCTAGGTTCCATGTTTATCTTGGTGATAATCTCGTTTCTTGGTCTTTCAATTGTCAACATGTTGTTTCTCGATCCTCGATTGAGGCTGAATATCGTAGGGTGGTCAATGTTGTTGTTGAAGAAGCGTGGCTTCAGAATATTCTTCTCGAGTTATCTTGTCCATTATCTAAACTTATGTTTGTGTTTTGCGATAATGTGAGTGATATGTATTTATCCTCTAACTCTCTACAACATTAACGTAGCAAGCATGCAGAAATATTTTACATTTTGTTAAAGAGTGTGTTTCCATTAGACATGTGTGTGTCTTGCATGTGTTGTATATTTACAAATGGTCTTCTTACTTAATTAGTTTTAGACTTTCGGAGCAGTTTAAACATTTGTAATCTCCATGTTCAAACTGAGAGCGTGTGTTAATTTATAAGTTGTTTTATACCTTTTATATAGTATAAGACCCCTTTGTAATATTTCCATATATAAATATAGTGCAATACACCGTTCATAATCATGGAGGCTTTTTTCCACATTTAACAATTTCATCATCAAAATGTAGGGGTGGCAAATCGGGGCATCGTGTCATGTTTTTGTATGACACGACACGACAATGTTTTATGTAACACGAGCACGACACGACACGATGTCATGTTTTTTTAACTAACACGAAAACGAACCGATTAAAAAAACGACAAACATGACACGACACGACAAAGATAACATAAAATAACAATTCGTTTATTTAATTAATACGTAATCATACATAGCACGACAAACACGAAAAACACGACAGACAAATGATAAATCGTGTGATTTTTTTGTCGAATTTTGAACACGAACGCGATACGACACGACGTCGTGTTTTTTGTACTTGACACGAACACAAAATCGAATTTCAGTTTCGTCCAAATTTCGTTTCATGTCGTTTATTTTTGTCGTGTCGTGTCATGTCATCAATTGCTACCCCTATCAAAATGTACAATCATAATCTCCATGAGATATCCTAAATTAATATTTTTATGATTGATCTCAAGTTTCATATCCTCACCTTTTCATCTAAACCCCATGATTCCTCGAATCATCACCCTTATTTGTGTTATTAAGTAATGCACACAGAGTTTTTGGATCTTTAAAGTACACATACATCATTTTAGTGAAAAATACTTATTTTCAATCTATCCAACTATACAAAATATCTTAAATTTCTTCATTCTCACACATTGGTATAAATCTCTTTAATGCTATATGCTCATCTACTTTTTCCATCATACTCTAAGTTTCTTCTGTTATCCTACCCATGTCAAATCAAGTGTCTTTCAGGCTGGTGGGTGTCATATAATATTCACCACACTTTTCTATTGTCACGTCATCTTTTGTCTCACCCCCACAAAACTAATAGATGTCATACCACATCTTACCACACCCACCACAATAAATATTTTAATGCACAAAGTACTATATATCGTACGGTAAAGATGTAACGTACAAAACAAATACAACACTTCTGTTTCGAGATTGGTGCATGGTTTACGGCATATCATACTATACCGCAAAATGTTGTACAAGGAAAACCGACCGGGCTCATGGCTGGTCTTGAACTATAGACGTTAGGGATAATGACTTAAAAAGGTAACATATTATTCGATTTGTACACATTTGGTCACTGAGTTTTTTTTGTCCACATTTACCCCTTAAACTTGTTAAACTGTACACATTCAGTCCTTATGACCTGTTACTCCAGGTTAGCCGGGAAAAATGTCTTGATAGGGTAATATATTTTTCATTTTGTACACATTTAGTCCTTAATATTTTTGTACATATTTAGTCCTTAACATTTTTTTTTGTTTCAAAATAAGTCCTTTTTTTGTACTCATTCAGTACTTATGAATGATTTCTTTAGGTTTTTTTCACGACATCTTACGTGAGACAATCATTGATGAGGTGCTTGGGGTTGTTGATGCTTATGTCCAATGCGATCTCGACTGCTTGGTTGCATAAGTCTTGTGGTTTGGCTTAGGTCTTGTATTTTGAACATCGTAACTTCTTCATACGATATCAGATTTTAAAGATCTTTATCCACGTGTTCATTTTTTGAGTCTACTACAACTTTCATTAAGATTACTCCCGTTAAAATGTAATATATTTTTACTAACGATTTTATAAAAAAACATACATACATGCATTCATAAAAAACGTATGGACAGGGGAAGACGCAGTAATACATAGTAGGTGTTGCCGAGATGAAATAGGTGTTGCCGATACATGGAAAATAGGTATAAACGTAAAAAATAAAGCGAAAAATTTTCCACTGCGAACAGAAAAAACAGGTGTTGTCGGTGCAACATCGGGACCATACTAAATCCGCCACCGCGTATGAATATAAAAATCGTAAGTAAAAAATATATTATTTTTTAATGGGAATAATCTAAATGAAAGTTGTAGTAGACTAAAATACAAACGCATTAATATAAAGATCGTTAAAATCCGAGATCATATGAAGAAGTTATGACGTTCAGAACACATGACCTAAGCAACCAAGTAGTTGAGATCGCGATGATATAAGCATCAAAAGCCCCATACACCTCATTAATGAATGTCACACGTAAGATTTCGTGAGAAAAAAACTAAAAAATCATTCATAAGTACTGAATGAGTACAAAAAAATGACTTATTTTGCAAAAAAAAAAATGACTAAATGTGTACAAAAATATTAAGGACTAAATGTGTACAAAGTGAGAAATATATTACCCTATTAAGTCATTTTTACCGGGTAACCTGGAGTAGCCGGTCATAAGGACTGAATGTATACAGTTTAACAAGTTGAAGGGGTAAATGTGGACGAAAAAAAACTCAGTGACCAAATATGTACAAATCAAAAAATATATTACTTTTTTAAGTCATTATCCCTAAACGTTTACATAACATTAAAATTTCATCATGTAATCACGTGTCTTTCCAATAATGTAAGTATCCAAAAAAATGTGTTACAAGAAGTCAAGAACCATTGGTATTGGTTTTTGAAAAAAAAAATCAATTTCAACAGACACCTCCCTACACCAATTGTATGCAACACTTTGACCCTAACCCACCAACTTTACGCGCATGTATCAATGTATCCCTCACGCGCCTGATTGAGTGAGCTTATGGGTTTATGGTGGGGCGGTAGACAATTACTTATACTAGTGGGGTTGCACGTCACCGATCGGCGCATTCTAGCTTCACCCACTCAACCTCAAACCCATCGTCATTATCACCCACCGTCCACCTATCCACCGTTACCCCCACCCATTTATTTACTACTCCCACAATCCGCACACCCACAAAAAGATCTACCCTTAAACTTCCTCCGCCGCCACCGGAAGCCCGCTTCCGACCACAGCAAATACTCACTACTTTCCACCCGATGTCGTTCACTCAAAAAGTGAAATCGCCGACCACCACCACTAGTTAGGTTGCTAACGTGCGCTTGTGATTGACTAACGTACGCTCCCCGAAGAAGATCACCGACATGTCTGCCGCCGCCGGAGAGAAACCTGTACGGAAGTTTCCACCGCCGTGCTGGACGCGCGACGAGGCACTGGTTCTGATTGAAGCATACCGTGAGCGGTGGTACGCGCTCCACCGCGCGTTCCTCCGAACACCAGATTGGGACGCGGTGGCTGAGAAAGTGACAACCAGCTGCCCGGACGTCACCCCGCCGAAGACTTCCGCTCAGTGCCGCCACAAGATGGAGAAGCTCCGTCAACGCCACCGAGCCGAGAAGCAGCGTGCTTCCGCCTTCTCCGGCGAGCGATTCTTCTCTTCCTGGTTCTACTTCGAAGCCATGGAAGCTATGGAAAACGGGTATGACACCGAACCTGGTAATCTCCAAATCGATTCAGAAATCCACAACCCTAAGAGTTTGAATCCAGGTCGTGGACTTCGATTCAAGCCTTCCGCAGTTCAGAATCTGGTAACATTAGCCACCAGTTCCACCAAACATAACATGAAATCAAGCCCAAATTTTGGTCCTAAAGTTTCAAATCGTTACTCTTCATATCCAAATAATGGGTCTAATCAAGAAGACGAAGATGAAGATGGAGGTCTTGTAGAAACCCCAATTGAAGAAACCATTTACAAGGGTCACAAATTCCTTGCAGAAGCCCCAATTAGAGAAGCAAAAAACCATAGAAGTTCTTCAATTGGAGGAGGAACTAGGAACAAACCACTGATCACCCCTCAACCAGAATCCGGTCGATCGGGTCTCAGGCCAAGGAAATTCAGCAAGGTCGTCGTCCATGATGATGAAGATGCTAATAATGGCGGAATGTGGGTAAAAGTCCCGAGGAATCCAACTATGTTTAGAGGAAGATCTCAAAACGCAAATGGGAAGGAATCGAACAAGGGAAAGAAGAATAAGGGTGGATTATCGGAGGTGGTGTCGTCGATTAAGTTATTGGGAGATGGGTTTTTGAAGATGGAGAAGATGAAGATCGATATGGCGAGGGAGATGGAGAAGATGAGAATGGAGAGTGAGATGAAACGTAATGAGTTGATATTGGAGTCGCAGAAACAGATCGTGGATGCGTTTGTGAAAGGAGTGATCGAGTCTAGGAAGCAGCAGCCAACAACAATGGCACATCTGTAGGTTCAGTTCAGTTGTGATGTGATCAAAGAATTCAGAAGGTTTAATTAATGTCTTTTTCAGTTTAAAGGTATTTTAGATGTGTATAAAGTTATGGAAACAATTTGTGAGTTTTATCATTTCTGTTTAAAGTCTCCGTTGATCTGTGAACTCATCAACCGGAGGTAACTGAAATTGGTCGCCGGTGGTCCTGTTTTAACGATGGTTTGTTGATGCTTTTAAACAATTAAACCTGCCAATGTAGTGGCACACAAACAAGTTTTGGTACTCTTTAGTTTTTTTTACTGGTTTGATAATTATTTATTTATATAGTTAGAAATTCTATTTGTAAATGTTGAACCATAAAGCTTTTTAAAATTTGCCAGAAATGTAAAAGTTTTTTACTTTAATAGTTTGATAGTTTACAAAGAATAAGATATGCAAAATTGAGTTGCATGAATTGGAAAACAAACACTTTAACTACAAGAATAGAAAATGACAATGTATAAAACTAGGGGTGACGATGCACTTTTGGTTTGGGAAAATGTAAGAAAAAAAAATTACATGTTTTAGAACTATGCATGTTGAAAACTAACATGGAAAAAACATTGGAAATGAATTTGTAAAAAACAAAGAATTTATGTTCATGTTGATTCTTTTATTAAATAAATAAACATAAACAAAATTTCTGAACTATTTGCATAATGTTTGGTTTGTTTACAATATAGTTCCAAGGTCTAATTATTTACCGAATATTGATTTTCTATCTATGTGTCATAGTTGAAATAGCATAGGAAATATATAGAGAAACGGAATATATAGAGAAAGATATATACTTGCAATGAATTTTTGTGATGTTATTTGCCCTGTCGCACACACAATTAACTTTTATGTATTTGATGAATCGAGTTTGCAAATATGTTTGTCGATGACATCCTCATTTATGTTAAAAGTAAGGAGGAATACAAAAGACATATACATGATGTTAAAGGTTTTGAAAAGGGTATCTCAAAACTAATAATAATAATAATAATAATAATAATAATAATAATAATACTCTTGGATCCAAAAGACATAATTCTTGTGTCACATATTTAACCATGACAATATCGAGATTCATTCACATAAAATAGTATCAATTATGAAATGGGAACAACCTATGAGTCTCATGGAGGTTCGTAGTTTTTTGGGTTTTCATGGGTTTGATCAGAAATTAGTAGATATTTATCAAATACTTTATGTATATACTTGCTCCATTGATGTCTTTAAACAAAAGATGGATTTCATATGATTAGACCGAAAGAAAGGGAGCTTATTTGAAGAGTTGAAGGATTAAGACTATGATATCATTTAGGTAAAGTGAATGGCGTAGCCTTCATTTTGAGTTCAGAGTAAAATTCAGAAAGAAAAAGGGTGAGATCTATGTGTCCTAAGGTTGTATTAAACACTATAGTAATGAGTAAAGAGGCTTAATTCGGGACCTTATCGGAAAAAATAAAATAAAATGGAAGAACTAAATAAATCACTGAAATTTGAAGATGATAGTCATAGGTGAAGACTTTCATGTTCAGATTTTGGTACCTCTCACCGGTTAGATACTTAACCTTCTCCTAAAGAAATACCACACATCTATTTATTATATTAATACTAGGAGCATCAAGATATACTTACGCTAGAAACTGTATTATTGGTGGACAAGGATAATATAGGACATGGAAAAGTAAGTTGTTGAATGTTTGATGATGTGTACAATAGTACCTATTCGTTTTAAATTTATAACTTAACTTAATTTGTTAACTATGCACTTATAAGCAGTGTATCTAGTCAGATTATATCATAGCTCAGGTAAGTCGGGTGTCGATCACAGGGAACGGAATTCAATTAAATAAATTAACTACTTCTGATTAAACTAAGATACAAACTATGATTGGGGTTTTTACTGATTTTGCAAGATCAGAAGAACTTAATATCAACTAATAATTAACCAAGCAAAGAAAACAAATTAATTTCAAAATTAAAAGAATACTTCTGCCTAGATTTACTAGCTATTATGATCAAATAACCAGGCCTACCAATTTACTAGCTATTATGATCAAATAACCAGACCTACCAATTTATAAATGACAAAGCAATGATCATGCACAAGTTAAACACCAAATTGATAATAATCACAAATTGGAATATGAATGATAATAGTTAATCTCCTATGATCAAGTTAAGCAACCAAACACAAATTAAGATTAATTATGCTCTCTAACACAGTTAATGTTACTAGCTTTTATTACTTAATCTAAGATGTGATTAATCATAGCTCTAATTATCTAATGATCATAAACAATTAGGAGACAAATTCATGCAATTAATATGATCGATTATTACAAATAATCTGATTTATAAGCAATAAAAACTAGAACTAAACATGCTAGGGTTTATATATATCAAACACAAGTAAAATCAAATATAATCATCCAAATATCGAAATCAACACATATGGATCAAGTTCATCTTCACCAAACAGAAGTAAAAGGTATTTAGCCTCTCATTGTAGCAGAAAAACACAATAGATCCATGTGAATTAAACTAGACATGAGTATAATAAGCAAACCAACTAGATCAATGTGAAAATCTTCTAAATCTTCTTCAATCCTTAAGCTCCACTTGGTTTTCGATCTTCTTATGGGTTTCTAAGGGTTCTCAGTCGCAATTAACCTCAGAAAACCGATTGCATCCTCTTTAATTCGACCTAATGTTCAGGATTTTATAATTGTCAAAATCGGATCATCACGTCGTGGTTGACTGCTACCACGACGTGGTCCTTGTGTTTATCCTGTATCTTTCAAGTCATCTGATTGGTCTCGGACTTTCCATTTGCCACGTCATGTTGGAGATCACCACGATGTGGTCTTCAGTCCTCTTTTCTTCTTTTTTTTGTTTTAGCTTCCATTGCCTGCATTCAGCTCCTCGTATGCTTCCTTTTTGCCCTGAACAAGTCTTTTCTGCTACAAAACATATTCTAAACATAATAAGCATCTTTTGTTCCAAATAAACATAATTGTAGCTAAAAGTATTAGAAATATGCATTAAATATGTAGTTAAATATGCACATATCAAAATACCACACACTTGTCTTTTGCTTGCCCTCAATAAAAACTGATTTTATTATTATCATATCAAGACTTTAGCTACCAAAATCGCACAAGAAAATCCATTTTGAGCTTCTCCATTACTTCAAGACTACAATGCATGTATTTGTGTCTATATTTTCCTAAGAACTTCGCAAATCCTAAATACTCACAATCTTCATAAACACTTTCCCACTTCTTTTGAACAACACTTATTTTATGCATCCCTCCGAATCCATCCCCATAAAACTTTCTTAACCTCAAGGTATTTTTGGTTAAACCTCAAGCATACATATGGAAAAATAACCTAGAAAATAATATTTACAATAACTTGGCAAATTTCGCCTTATTCTTGAGTCTTCGATTTGAAACTTTTCTTCATGATATTTCTTTATCTTCATTGCTTTGTAGACTCTTATTTACTCAAACTTTTTGCAACTTTTTTTTTCTTCTTTTTCTTTTTTCACTTTTTTCTTTCAAACTAAAAATCCAAAAAAACATATGCTTAAGCAAGGAAACTTAACTTCAACCCTTATTGGTTAGATGTATTAGTCTAAGGTGCAATGACTACATAAGCTCTCCTTGAGACATTTCTGGTACACGATTCTAAACACATTGTGGCCCTCAAACTAAGCAAGGTCGTGTTTTTGTTCCATGATTTCACTAGGACAGGGAAGCCACAAATTCACTATAACATATATTGGCTCAAATAAACATTGAAGCTCGCATCGGATCGTCCCACACAACACTAGCAACCTAGATCTTAACATGACCATTTTTTAAACTAGATTCAATTTTTAGATTATTATTTTAAATCTTTCTAATAAATTTCTAAAATCCCATTCATTTTTCAAATTTTTATCAATATGCTTGTATTCCTATATTCAACCCCTACCCCCACACTTAAATGATGTAATGTCCCCATTGCATACTAAAACAATTAAAGAACATAAATTAAAAAGGAAGAATTGGAACAGAATCCCCTTGGGTAGTAGTGACGAGATCAAATTCTTGAAAGTTGTGTGGTAAAGCTTGGACTTCTTATATAATGGCTAGAAACAGTACTTCTGGACTATTCTCTTGTGAATGCATATGTACCAGATATAAATAAATCAAAGAACCATCTTCAAAAAGTGTGATGAACCCCTACCACGACGTGGTATAGGAACGTCACGTCGTGGTGTCAAATGAATTGTGGTCATGGTCGCTAATTTCAAAAGCACCATGGCGTGGTCAAGTGATGTCACGTCGTGGTGTCTGGTCGGATGCAGTCGCGATAAAAACAATTTTCACGACGTGGTGATGATGGTCATGTCGTGGTGTTTGCTCAGTACGTCTTCAACAGTCAAAATAATGCATCGACTCTTCATAATGCTTAGGACCATTCCTGATCTTTTCTTTCAGTAATATTCTTCAAAATTCTTCTCTTCAAGTGAGTGGGAACCCCACACTTATTCAAAAACATGGTCTTCAAGTATAATCTTCCCAAATCGCACGACTTCTTCATCAATTAAGCTCCTTCACCGCTTCACATATTTTCTTTCTAACACTAAAAAATAAAATAAGAAGACTAGAGAAACACATGATCATTTGGTTAAACTAACATAAACACTAAAAAAATGAAAAACTAGAAAGAAATCAAAAAGGAAAATAAAATGCAAACTCTAAACATCGGGTTGCCTCCCGAAAAGCGCTTCTTTTTGAGGAGTCGTGAGTCGGACTCCTTCCCACTCTATGTTGTTGCGGTTGGGAGTGGGATCTCCCTTTTCTTCTTTTTCTCCTTCCATTTACGCTTGTAAGCTTGAACCCTTCTTTTGTATGCCTTCTTTGAATTCTCCATCTTCTTTTTGTTGGCACTTTCCTTATGTTTACGCTTCCCCCTTTGCCTTGCTTTTTCACTTT